GAGTCTTAATCATAAAAGGATGTTGTATTTTATCAAATGCTTTCTCCGCATCAATTGAGATGATCATATGGTTTTTATCTTTCTTTCTGTTAATGTGGTATATTACATTTATGGTCTTGCGTATATTGAACCACCCTTGCATCCCTGGTATAAAGCCTACCTGGTCGTGATGAATGATCTTTGTTATATGTTGTTGGATGGGGTCAGCCATTTTTAATGATCTCAGATGACCAAACCAGCCTTCCGAGCATCCTCTGTCCTACTTCGGCTTTACTTGTGGTGTGGCCGTGTTCACTATAATCTCAAAGGAGAAAAAAAAACCTTGTAAAAAAAGCAAAAACAACAACAACAACAAAATCTTATTCTGAGCATTCCAGTAACTTTTTTTGTGTATGTACTTAGCTGTACTATAAGTAGTTGGTTTGTATGAGATGGTTAAAAAGGCCAAAGATAAAAGGTTTCTTTTTTTCCTTTTTTTGTCTATGAAGTTGCTGTTTATTTTTTTGGCCTGTTTGATGTATGTGTGAAACAATGTTGTCCAACAATAAACCGGAATTTTATTTTGCTGAGTTGTTCTAAAAAAAGAAGAAAGAAAGAAAGAAAGAAAGAAAGAAAGAAAGAAAGAAAGAAAGAAAGAAAGAAAGAAAGAAAGAAAAATGGTGATTTTTTCTGGAGCCAACAGGTGGCATGGAAGTTAAGACACTGGATCGTACATAGCCAACTACACTGTTCACATCACAGAACTGGTGGCTTGAAAATCACACTGGGAGCGTGTATATGGGTGCCCACAATCTTGAAAAGAGAACGGAAGAGAAAGGACTGTGGCATGGCCATCCCCCTGGGGGGAGTGATTTCTCACTTTCCCTCTCTCTCTGTCTCTGGTGAGCACACGTGCCATATAGCAGAAACAAACAAAACTTTTTGGAAAAATTGTGATTTTTCTAAATACATCATTAATTCTACATTTATTAGTTGCCATTTCACTGTAAAGAAGAGCTTTTCCTGGGACCAGGAGGTAGTGTGGTAGCTAAGGCACTGAACTACGTGGTTGACTACAGTTTGAATCCTGGACCCAGCAACTTGAAAATCACACCAGGTGTGTGTGCATGCATGCCCAAAATCCCAAGAGGAGAATGGAGTCGAAGAGACTGTGGCCATCCTCCCTGAGGGGTAATTTCTTATTTTCCCTCTCCCTGTCTTTCTCTGGTGAATGCATGTGTCCTATGGCAAAAACCTAAAACAAACAAACGAAAAAAGCTTTTCCTTGGGGACCAGCAGTTAGCGTCATGGCTATGTCGCTGGACTCCCATGTAGTCGACCGCGGGTCGCGTCCCGGACCCGGTGGCTTAAAACTCACACTAGGCTCGTGTGTGTGTGTGCCCAAGATCCTGAGAAGAGAATGGAGGAGAAGGGATTGTGGCGTGGCCATCCCCCCTGGGGGGTGATTTCTCGCTTTCTGTCTCTCTGTCTGTCTCTGTCTGGCGAGCGCACGCACCCTATAAGCAAAAACCTCTCAAAAAAAAAAAAGCTTTTCCTTTAGTATTGGTTAATGATTGGTTTTCAGTATGGACTCAGATTTTATTCATTACGTAGGTTATAGTGTTTTACTGCGATTATTCATTTTGATGCTAAAACTGGGTTGAATTTGGCAAATGGGAGCCCCTTCAAGCTAGTTTCTGTGACCATTGACATGTACCCATAACTTTTTAGTACTTCCTTACTTTTGGAACAATAAATCTATCTCAGGCTTATCTTGTATTTCCCTGTGTTGAGCCTGGAATTAGCTATTTCGCCAAGGATCTCTGCCTGGCTCGCTTAAGTGGAGAGTGATATTTAGAAAACAAGATTTGGGTGCTGGGTACACTCATTGCTACTGAAGGGTCATTGCATTTATTGTCTTTTAGCAGGTAGAGGTAAGAGTGATCCCTGGCTTTTGAACCTCTCTTAATATCTCCACCAAGTCATTGTAGGTCTCTGCTCGAACACTTCATTATTTGAGAAAATTGCTCCAGAGACAGTCTATTCCATTTTTAGGCAGCTCAGATATTTGACAACTCTTCTTTTTTGAAAATAGTGGTCATTTGTTTCCTCTACTAAGTTTCGTCTTCTCTTTGCTAGCATCTGCCATTCCTTTATTGCCATTACTTTTTTAAAAAGTTTAAAAGTTTTTTTTACATTCAGTCCATTACCTTTTATTAAAGTTTATTTATTTATTCCTTCCATTAGTGATCGAGAGAGAGAGACAGTACCCACCAAGAGGGTCCTGATGCCATGATCTACCCCCCAGCCTCAGCCAGCCCTGGATCATGGGCATATACATGCCAGGCATACTCAGGGAGGTCTCTTGTCACAAAACTAGACCCTTTCCGTGTGGGTCGACCTCATAGAATATTGCATTTTATTACCACTCCAATTCCTTCCATTAGTGATCGAGAGAGAGAGACAGTACCCACCAAGAGGGTCCTGATGCCATGATCTACCCCCCAGCCTCAGCCAGCCCTGGATCATGGGCATATACATGCCAGGCATACTCAGGGAGGTCTCTTGTCACAAAACTAGACCCTTTCCGTGTGGGTCGACCTCATAGAATA